AAAAAAAAAAAAAAAAAACCCAATGTACCCTACCTGCCCAATACCAAACACAGACAAATTGAGTGACTGAATACTGAACATAGTGGCGTATTAAGCAGCTAAAGAATTAGATAATTCCCCCAAGAGTTGATGGAGACCAAAACAGAGCTTGAAGGAGAGTGAATATTGGTAATCCATTCAACAGGAGGCCAGAAATGAAAATGATAGTGTCCACTGTATGCGTAAATAGGCAAATTGTTTGCTCACAATTTCGTTTCAATTTCATATATACTTAACACTTCCGTGTTGTATTTACGTCTTGTTTGTGCTGATCCCATGCAGTCAAAAAGGGTTAGTATAGTATGTTATATGTGAGATAACACAAAGAAGCTTTAAAATATTGTTTTTCTTACTCATTAATTAATATTATAGTCCGTCTTTATCTACATTTATTTACAAAAGTTGAAGAATCATAAATCCTTTGAGATGCTCATTACAAAGGTTTTCTGAATCTTTTGAAGACCCTTTTCCAGCTGGTGACCATCCTTTTAGGTGCAGTTCCTCTACAAATCATATGAAATATTAGTTTGTTTGGTTTTAGGACCTGACTTGTGATCATGTGACCCCATGCGGTGTCTCAGCCCATGGTGCAGGAACGCTGTGCTGAGGAAAGTTGATCTACAGTTTGAATGTCATTGGGGTGATTGACTTCAGCTCAGAAGGGACGGCAGTAAATTCTGACTTTATGGATTTGTCCTTTCACATCAACTCTGATTAGACAGAATGACATGGCAACAAGTTGCAGTGTTTTTTTGTGCTTTTCTTGTGTTCACACAGTTTGAGAGGTATGTTGCTCATATCAGAGGAGAGAGGGAATTGTACACTTAAGTGTGTGTGTTATGGAAAATAGGAACTGTTGGGTAACAGCATGCACATTAGCTGTGTGCATGCATCATGCAGTTTACACTCTAGGCAAGGTCCTCAGATTCTGTTTTGTACTTATTACTGGTAGTTGCTACATCATATAACTCACTGTGCAACACCTCAGCCACAGTTCTGCAGTGCTATGGGTGAGCTAATATTGTAACTGTGGATGGCCAGGGTGGGTGAAAAAGAGCTTTTTTTTTTAACCAAAATATGTTTCTAGGCACCATATTTTGTTACACTTCAATGCTGATTTCATGACCCAGAATATATAGAGTGGCTGCTGATCTGCAGAAGATCATTTCCTGGCAATTCATATTTTCATTCTGGAAGTTCAGTCCTCAAACGTTTGTCAGACAGACGTTTTTCGTCTGAGAAAATGTGTGGTTGGCCCAGGACGTGGTGAGTCAAAACAAGTTTGACAGCTTTTCTGAGCCTGAGAACATTAAGGCCTTAATCCAAAATGCAAATACCAGTTACCTGGTATAGTTTAATAATACTTCTGTATTGAACCTATCTGACCTCTATTCTCTTGAATTGAAATAGTCATACATGTAGATAATTGAAAATAATAAGGATTAATGAAGTTACATTTAACATATGTACTGTATGTAAATCGCTTTCCTTTATCTCTCTTTGTCACACTTTCTACATCTCTGTGGTGATGAGATGTGATAAATGCAGCGGTAAAGTGTGTGTACTGCTATTTAATCAAATACTTGAAACAGGAAACTGTTCATGCGTCTGTCTCTGCCTGCATGTGTGTGTGTGTGTTTTCTTTCTCCCCTTCCCTTTGTAGTATGTAACAAGCCTTGTACGTGTCAGAAGGGACCACAGAGAACCAATTTTGAACATCAGCAGCTAACAGGGTAGATAAGAATCTCTGTAGAGCACCTTAAACGTTAAAGTTAAATGTTATTACTTGCATTCATAGTTATTTTTTTGTTTTTCTAACTCACATCGAAGTAATGAGTAATGTCACAACCGTTGTGGCTTTCTGTGGCTGGGAACTGAAGCAGAGATGATGTATTGCCGGTTTGACGAGGCTCTCCATTCATTCGTCAGTGACCGACTTTTGTTTCTTCTTCTTTTTATCTGTCTCTTTCTTGGTGTTCAGTTCTCCAGCTGAAGCTACAACAGAGACGGTCCAGAGAGGAGTTGGTCAACCAGGGGATCATGCCGCGTAAGTAGACAGCAATTTATGTTCGAGAAAAACGTTGCCCCTTGCTCTGAAAAAGTTATTGTTTCTGTTTTGGAGTACATCCACATTATGAATTGTCCACAAAGATAGCCTTTCATGAAATTATTTAACACTTTGCTGATACAACTTTTTAAAATCATTCATAGAAGAAGTAAAAGAAGAAGTGAAAATGGACAGGAAATTACCCTTGTTCAGTACATTATTTTCATATATTATAAAAGGTAAAGTTGGCTTTTCCAACCTTTCACTTTCCAGACTCAGTTGCCAGTAATGATTATTTTCATTGTTGATTAATCTGCTGATAATTTTCTTTGATTAATCAATTAAACATTTTGTTTAGAAATTGTCACTAAATAGTAAAACATGCCTGTAATTTCCCACAGCCCAAAGTGATGTATTCAAGAACTTGTTTTATTTAACCAACCAATACCTAACAGAATCCAGTTTACTTTGACAAAGCAAACCATCAAATCCTCAATTTTAAGAATCCTAGTACACAACAGTACACAAGTAAAAACAAATACAGATAAAATACGTAAAACAAAATATTAAAACATAACACAATATGCCACAGAGCATAGTGGCTCAGTTTAAATTCACAGTTTTACCCTCATTAGTTAATTAAAGTAAAGTGCATCTAGGTAATGAGGGAAGACTAAATATAAGAGGCACTGAACATTATAACCTTCATGAAGGTAGGCTTTATTGCCGCTATTGTTGTATTAAACTGCACAAAATCTAGCTAGACTAAGAGTAGCAACTGTCTTCAAGCTGAGGTTTTTCATTCATTCATCACTGCCTGTGAGAGTCTGTCGTGTCGCTTCAGTTTTAGCCTCATTACTTGCTACACAGCAGTTCTCTGAATTGATTTGGATTGTGGTTGAGACTGTGCCATCATCTCATGAAAGATAGCAGTTTCAGTCTTCAGAGTAAGGTGAATCAAGGTCATACTTCAACTGCCATCATGAACATCCGTTTGCTGCCTTTTAGCTGCCTGCTATCTGATTAAAAGATTTCCCCGTGCACCATCGAACTCAAAATGTTTAGGTGCTTATATGCTTTTGGATCAATACAACATGCTTAAAAACTGTCATTTTCATCAGACAGCATATCAGACAGCATACCTTTATGTTACTGTTTAGCACATGTATTAATAGTTGTATGTTCTGGTGTTAATAATCACTAGGAACATACATTTCTGTACATATTATCTACAAATTAATGCTCATAATCCCATTTCGTCACATGTTTAATTATAATTATTTCTTTAGAAATATTAAGTCCATACTCTGCCTTTGACAGTTGATGTCATAATAATCACACACGTTACACAGGAAGTGTGTTGTGCTGTGTGTTTATTTCCTATTGTTATCTGTTCATCTCATAAATGCTTGAATTAGCTGCCTGAAAACAATTTACGCATTACCCTTGCTGTTGCAAGAATATATTATTTCCTGCATTACAAACACATACAAACACTATTTACCCTATTTTGTTGCGGTTATAATACAAAGTTCCAGTTCTTATCTTTGTACGCAGACAGCATTGATAATGGAAAATGACTTAGACCTCCTCTGGTGGAGAGCTGCAAAACAATTGACCATTGTTAACAATGAGGAGACAACGGGTACTGTTGAGTTTCGTATTGTCTGTGACAAGAGAGAAAGTCATAGACGCAGTCAGCCAAGTGTGACCCAAGGACTTAGTGTCATCACAGCTCTTGTCTGTCTTGACTTGTGTTTCTTCCTTTCTGACTGGCTGGGACGAAGATCAAAATGTTTTGTTCATAGTGTCATCCAATTAGCCCATGCCTCTCTATTTTCCTTACCCCGAGGCCTGTTGCTTGATTATGTGCTTGTTTCGTCCCTGTGTCATATCTCCTACAGTGTTTAGGGGAATTGCACTATGTCCCCTTTAGCCTGGGCAGAAACCAACAAGCCCTGTTGTTAGCGTTTATAATCTGAAAAGATTAGAGATGCTTATGTGGAGAGAGGCAAGGCGCTACATGGACAAATATGACGATGCTCATGTGACAAGTAAAGGCTTCATTTTTATGAATGCAACTGTTAGACTATGTAACATGATGGCTGTGTTTTATGTTGTCATTGACCACAGGCTTAAATGGTTGTAGGTTAAAAATGGTTAAGTGCAGGTATGGGTTTTAGTGGTTAAAGTCAGAGTAAGGACATGCCGGAACAATTAGCCACTGACATTTCAGCTACCCTTGTCTGTCACATGACCTTTATTGTAATTATTCCTGTAGTTTCTCAGGGAGACAGTAGGCAGTTTGAGAAACACACTGTAGAAGGCCAGTGATCACATCTCTACAACTTCCACCTCTGTATTGCTGTTCTTGCACTCAGACTCCTCTTGTCCCCCCGTTTATGTCTTTTCCTTCAGAAATTCGAATTCTGCTTGTGCTATAAGTCTTCATTGTTTTTTTCATATTCTTCTTCTCAGTCTATATTCTTTACTGTATATAAAGATAGACATGACAGCCCCCCTGAAGTGAAGCCAAAACATCTCAATCACCCCTTGGTGGCTGGCTGCAGTATAGGTCATAAACCCTGCCCCCTACATGTTAGCAGACGGCACATGGTCTCACGATTGAGTGGACCAGGTGTATGGGCAGGGCCTTGATACCGTGGCCTCAACCCCGACTACCACTGCGCAAACTCTGGCTTCGAGTGATGTCACAAGATGGCAGTGCCCTTATCCAGGATATTTTGTCTTAATTTTTGTACAGTGGGAGGTCCACATGTGTACATCCTACCTTTCTTAACAGAATGCTACCATATACCCTCATCTTTCAGCCTCTCCTGCAGTCATTTCAGAGAGGAGCAGATCAGACCTCAAAGGAAGCTTTCCTATTTAGTTCCAAACAATAGTTTCAAACAAATATTTGTCAGCCGGATGGACATTTTGGGAGCTGGGGTTCAATTTGTTGCATTCAAATTATTTTAAACAAGATATGTGTCAGTTTGAAACTTTACTTTCTGAAAATGTGACAGCCCTAGTGGGTGTGTGTGTTTGTAGCTGCATGTTGGTTGCTTGAGTGGTGTGGTGTGTGTGGTAGGGTGTGCTCATTTGACACAGTGCTATAATAATCCCACAGTGTGATACCCTACCTAGCACTTTATTTATAAACTTCTCAGACGTGTAAAAACATTTTTTGAGTTTGTGCTTCTCTACATGTGGTTATCAGGTTATAGGCTAAACCTTAATGCACTGGTATAGAGTATAAAATGGAAAACAACGAGTGAGAGTGAAAGCATAAACCTTTAGTCACGCAGGTGTAGGCAGTGATAATAATAATGTGACTGCTATTTCTGAATGGGTATGAGGACAAACTTCACTACAGTCAGACACTGTGGATATACATTGTGTGATGATTGGTAAACCTGGCCCAGTTACTGTGACATTTGGATTGACAATTTCTGGCGTTGCGAATGCAATTGTGCCATATATGAGTTCTGCACGCATGTAAGTACCAGATTTACACTTACCAGTGGAGAGAAAGCAGCTCTCACAAAGTTCTCACATCTGAAATAGCTACCTGTGGTCTCATAACAACAAACACTTCACATGTTTGTGGAAGACAACAGTGATATTTTTGTAATTATGTGGCTATTGAAGCTATTGACCAACAGATCACACAGTTTAAATGGCTGACCCTGTGGAGTTAAAACAGAGGAGCGTTTCTTAAGCGCAAGCCAGTCGGTTAACACACAACAGACAAAACGAAGCACTTGTCAGCAGCAGACTCAACATAAAAAGACAGCCACCGCCAGAGGAAGCGATGCTGCTCGATGTTCTGAAAGTTTAAAGACCGGGAATGCTGGTTAGCTTTAGCAGGGTGGCAAGAAGCCATGATGCAGCCATTCATGCACATAATGGAGTCTTTTCTCTCTGACCTCATCCCACCACTCTCTATTTCCTCCTCTTCATTTGCCCTTCGGTCTGTTGTTCCATTTTTCTTCCAGCTGCCTCTCTCCATTTATCTCATCTGCCTGTCTTCCCTCCATCCGTTTTCTGAGTCTCCATCTTCTTCCTATCTATTTCCATCCCTTTCACTTTCGTCCCTGCTTCCAAAACCTTATTTTGTGCTCATCCATCCATCTTTCCCCTCCACCCCACCACTCATTTCCCATGTAGCTGACTGACAGGCAGGTTCATACACCCTCAAGGAGGCCACATAACCCCCTTGTGGATGGGTGAGAGGTCTAAGAGGGGTAATGTCCCCAGGGCGTGCACGAGTCAGTGTGTACCAGCAGTGTGACAGGGCTCAGCCACGTGAACTGAGGCTTGAGCAGGTACCAGCAGTCTTACCCCAGGGTTGCTAATCTAGTCACACCACACACACAGTGTATGTATGTGTGTGTGTGTGTGTGTGTGTGTGTGTGTGTGTGTTTGTGTACAGTGTAGTCCAGTCAGAGTATTTGGACAGCTACACATGTGTTACCTATAACACATTGGATTTGAAATGAAACTATGACTATGAAATTAAAGTGCTGACTTTCTATAATTTAAAGGTTGTTTACTTCCATACAAGTGGTACCTTACCTGGTCAGGCAGGTACTGCCGCCATCTTCACCTCTTACTTGTTTGTCTAATTAGTTAGTCCAGTCTAAATGTGTTCACTTGAGTTAGGCACAACTTCTTGGTTGCCTTGTCTGTATGTGTAAGATTCAAACAAGGCAACTTTGTTGTTGGAACTGTGCATACAAAGTGCCCATTAACCCCATAGTCACTGGGTCATTCCAGTGGGCTGGCGGAGAGCAAAGTTAAAAACATTTTTCTTTACATAGCAGTGTGCGCTTCCTACATGTGTGTTTGTGTAGCGCTCTGAATATCATACATTAATATAATATGCAAAAGTAAAAAACCCCACCATTTTGACTTTATAATATACATCCAAACCCGGAAGAATGGTTTCAACTTACACTACCAATTATTATTTTAACTATATCCCTTATGTCCATATAGTAGGCTTCACAAGTGCTACTTTCATGAACATTTGGTATATTCTTGCTGTTTTCCCTTTGCTCAGAAGAATGATCAGGCCTGTCAGAGCCTAAATGGCTTTCAAAGAAAGAACAAAAACAACGCAACTAAAAGCAATACTTACTATGTTTAGTCGATTGTATTTTGGAAGCTTGATTTACACCTTAAAAACAGGAAGTGCCTGCAGCCCTTCACCCAAACACTCTTTAATCTAGGTTAACACCAGCAACTGATGTTCAGTACCTTAATAACTTTTTTTATTTATTCAACGCGGCCTGTTATCTGCCTCCTCCTCATTCATAGGGGCTTACGATTGGTCAACAAATAAACCAGACACCATTTGCCAGGCATTAAAAGTTCAATCAACTCTGCAGTGCAGTAAGGCTCAATAACCCGTCCTATTATTACATGTAATAAAACATTATTTAATAGTTTAGATTCTTGTTTTAGAAGCAAAATCATAATGCCTGTACTGATATGCTGCATTTAACTCAGCAGTTTGGTGTCATCACAACCCTTTAGGCTTTTAAGTTTCTAGCACCACTAATCCCTTGGTTTTTGCATAATCATAGGCCTACAGGAAGTCTTGCTTGAGTCATTTGTGAATGCTCAACAGATTCTATAAATTCCACTGCTGTAAAGAGGCTCGTTGGACTGTAAACCTCCATCCATTAAATTTTTACCTTTATCTTGAGATTTTTGGCCTTTTACATAACTTGTTAATGGGACCAGAGCCCAGGCTATCATGCTTTTTGTTCTGTAATGGCTTATAAACATTTGAGCCTGTACAGTGAGAGCAGACATTTACAACACCGACATGGCACTCAGAACCAGAGAAAGGAAAAGCTTTGGCAATATAAGAGCAATAATCCTCACCATCAGTAAACATATTCAAACTGAACTGGAACTGAAATGAAGAAGCGAAGAGCGATTCAAAGCCGTTTTGCTCTCCATTTCCCTTCGGTGGCATGAATGTACACACTGCCATGTTAATGTCCTCTCTCTCTCTCTCTCATTCTTTATTCTTCAAGCCCTGAAAAGTTCAGCTACCTTCCATGAACAGAGACGGAGCTTGGAACGAGCACGGGTGAGCACATTCTCCCAGAATCCCTGACTGGAGTCACAACTGGCCTGTTTGAAGCAGACATTCATGCTCAGTCTAGGTTTTGTAACATCTGACGTCATTACAGCAACTCTTGAATAATCAGAGAATGTAAAACAGGCTGGTGATGACACATAAGAGCTAAGGCCATATGCAGAGAAAATAGATACTCATACTCTGTATCCAAAGTATCCAAATAATATATCATGTAGCATAGGTGTGGGCAGATAAAAGGTTAGTGAGAGGTTGAGTTATGGAAGAATAAGTATGTGATATAAATCCAAAAGTTATTCTCTCAATTTTTTTCTCTCTCCTTCTTCAGACTGAGGACTATCTCAAGAGGAAGATCAGGAGTCGACCCGAGCGATCTGAACTGATCAGGATGCACATCCTAGAGGGTAAGTGCCATATAGAACCTCCTGTCTGTCTGGAGTCTAGGCAAGTGTGACAAATAACTCTTTGCAAAGTGGTAAAAAAAAAGTCAATTGTTTGGGTTCTGCCTGCTTCCAGAGACGTCAGCAGAGCCGTCACTTCAGGCCAAGCAGCTGCAGCTGAAGAGAGCTCGTCTTGCAGATGATTTGAATGATAAGATCTCCCACCGGCCAGGGCCCATGGAGCTGATCCACAAAAACATCCTGCCTGTTCACTCCAGCATTAAACAGGCAATAATAGGTAAGCCAGGCCAGGTTTCAGGTGGATTCTATTTGTCATTTACACTCTCACAGGGTCTCTAAATGAAATACAGAGTACATCCAAGACAATATTTTTTTCTTTGACTTTTGGCTGGACTTCAATTAACTCTCTCACAATTACTTCAGACTAGTGGAGCCAATTATAAGCTTGACTTAAGTGTTGAATTTTTTATATTCAATTAAGCTGAGAGCAGCCCTCTTTACTTTAAACACCAGCAACACCAACAATGTGGCAGGAACAGGGGTGGTAATGAGGGAACAGCAAGTGCTGCCTTTCACTTTCCCCACCCAGATTTATCCTGTCCGGTCTGGGGGACTGAACTGAATACACCTTTAAATAAACTATGCCCTGCATATATGTGCGGGAGGGAGGTGTAACATATCACAACACACCCACAATTTAAGGCTCTTGACATTATGTCCCTCCTGCCCACCCCCTCCAGCTATCATGAACATACTGATGCTCACTCTCAGATGCCTCAGCTGTGCCTGCCACACACACACACACACACACACACGCTAACAACACATGACACACACTTGCACAAATGCACATTCACATCCAATGTGTACATACACAACAACCGTGTTACACACAAACCCCCTTCACCTGAGTATTCATGCTTCAAACTTCCAGTGCTGGGTTTAGAAAGATTGAACTAGGATATTTAGTCGTATATCATGCATGCCCTTTCATCCGTGCTCAAGACATCTCTTCCTTCTCTGCTGTCGGTGTTAAATGGCCACAGTGTCTGTTAATAAAACCCATTATCTTTTATTAGAAGAATGACATACTAATTGAAGAGTTATGACTCTAAATGAATGAATGTGATTTCACTTGCAATTTGGGCATTGTGACAGATCTAATGACCCCAATTTCACCCTTTTCCATTTCAACATGAACAGTGAAAGAAACAAAGGAGCAGTACTATCTAACATTTACTGTATATCTTCAGTCCAGTGCTAGTTTTGTCAGACATTAGAAGATGAGATCAGAGACAGTGGGTCCAGCTGCTTGATTGATGTGTGGAGGGAAAGAGTGCTGAAATTCAATAACGTATAGTGTCAGTCGATTATCCATCACTGTCACTGCTGCACAATAAACACAATTGCATTACCGCTTCTTACTGTAGGAGCACTGGGAACGGCAGAGTTGACATGCAAAGATACAAACATACAATGCACAGAAACACATTGGCACAGCGCTGCGGTAGGAAAGTCATCTCATTATTGGATCAGAGGGTATTAAATTAGCCCCATGTTGTCTTTTCATCATTGCCTGCTGATGGTGGATTAATGGCCAGCGGTTTATTTTACATAGCCATCGGCTCCAACCCACAGCAGCTCCTTTAATTAAATAACACACATACACACAGCAGAAATCTATTTCCTAGTTCAGGATTCATGGATTCATTCCTATGCTAAAGAATGTTTCAACCTGATGCAACATTTGTCCCTGGTTGACAAGTTTTAATGCAATTGGTTTTAACATACTTTCCCTGAATTATATGTCATTTTTTATATTATTCAGCTTTGTTTATTTGTTGCCTGGAAAACATTTTGTAAATCCAAATCATTAGTAGCACAGAAGGCTGGCATTAACACGAGGAGCCTTCACATTAACAGTTAATGCATTCATAGCATAAATTACGCAACCGATCCTCCTTAGAATTCTGAGCATAACGTCATTCCTTACAGAAACCATCTGTCGCATGAAAAACAGTGTGAATGAGGTGGCCAGCCTTATTTGGCTGCACTGTAAGTGAACCTAGATGAATAAAAACTATCACTGGGATAAAGCTTGACTCATCCTGGCCTCCCCATGGACAAAAGAAACATTCTTTTCAGTGAAGATATCATTTAATAGCGCCTTTTATGGGTATTATGTGTGGGCAGTGAGGACAAGGATTTAGGTTACTCTGCAGCAGTCGTCACATAAATGCACTAATTGACAGTTGTGGAGCAGACATTGGAGAAGAAGCACTGGTGAATATAGGCAGACTTTATGGACACTCACAGGGTATTAATTCATTGGCACAGTGCAGTATGTTGGTGGATGGTAGTGGCTCAACACCTGTAAATGCAGGTGATAAAAGCCTGCTGCGTGGCCTGTCCTTGTACACAAGCAAGGCAGGCACACACACTCAAGCGTGGAGGTAAATACAGTAGCTAATCATGCTGTTCTATGTTATGGGGGGATGTTCAGTTTATGTTTCATCTGCCTATACTGTATATAAATCCTTTCCTCTCCCTCTCTTCCCACAATCCCTCCTCTCCCGCTCAGAGACACAGTTTCCAAAGGCTTCAGGTGATAACTCTTCATGTGATGAGGACAGCAATTACAGTCTGTCTCCAGAGCAGCCAGTAAGCCAGGAGTCTCCTCTGGGCCTGCTACCTCTGCCCTCCCCACCAGAGACTCTGGCTGGGAGCAGCATCCCATCTCCTACACAGGTAGGGTCGCGCCGGAGAGAGGACATAGTGTGATTAACATGTCGTGTGTCATGGATGCAAGATTGTAATACATGAGTAGAAAAGTAAATTCCATGACAATAACAAAC